ATTAGCATCGTTATGATTTGCATAATTCAAGGAAGAACATGGTTACGGGAGTGGTATAAGCAAATAGGGGACGGATAAGGAGGTGGAGAGTAAATTGGAAAGAAATTCAAATTTGATAAAAAATTACTGAAATAATATACTTCAAAATTTCCTTTAGCATCTATCATTTAGTTAGATATTCAACTACTCGTCACTATCTCTTTGAAATTTCTTTAAATTTATGGAAGAATTCCAAATTTTTTTCAACCTTTGCTCTTTTGATACCACTCACCTCAAACAATACTTTTTTTAGTAAACGACAACCCACCCAAATTCTCTACCCAGAACTACACAGCTTCCATTCCAGAAGATATTCCCGTTGGCACCTCTTTTATGCAGGTAATCTTTCTTTTGTCACCTGAAACTTTGATTCACGAAAAAGAGGATGAACAAAGTTTTTTTTTTTCTTACTCACATAAAAACTGAATATGTTGAGGTCTCTGCGATTGATTTGGATGTAGGAAATAATGGAATTGTGGATTACTTCTTGAACAACTCGAATTCATCACCGGTTTATGATCTTTTTCGTTTGGACAGAACATCAGGTACTCTCAGGGTCAACTCGAAATTGGACCGTGAGCAACATCCCATGTAAGTTTAGGAATTCTGTTAACAAGCGTATTCCCTAGCCTTACGACTGCAGCTTACCATTTATTCCCTTTATGCAATTTTTGTCGAAACAAATTTTAAAGTACTAATGTCTTTAGGATTTTCTATAGTTTTGAGCCACATTCGATACCAAGAGCCTTAGTTTCCAAAGATTCTTACTTTCCCTAGTCGGACTTTATTGCAGGCTTTTGCTTGCATATTATTATGGAAATTTCTCTGCCAATTTTCAGCATTGAGCTCAACGTATTCGCAAGAGACAGGGGTAAACCTCCGCTTACCTCGTCCGCTCTGATCACCATCTCTCTAACCGATGTTAATGATAACGCGCCGAAGTTTGATCAATCCTCGTATGATCTGT